TGAACTATGTACTAAGGTAGACACAGTCCAGATATTAGGTGATGAGTGTTTAGGAACCTTTGCAAACTGTTAATGCCAAACACCTCTTGAGCTCAGGGAGGAGGGGTGCACAAGGGTTTTGAAAGTAAACAACGGAAAAAAAGCAGAGAGCTCGAGGCCTTGGCTTGAGCCTGAAATAGAGCTGAGAGCAAGAGAGACCTTTACCTTGCAGCCCTTCTTAAGATCATATAAACAGAGTACAGCTTTGTTATTTATTGTCCATTTACAACAGGCAGTCTTTTCAACGAACTCCTATTTGTTTCTAAATGGTGGAACTGAGAATTTAGTTTAGTTCTTTGTGGTATTCTTTGGTAGAAGTGACACCAGACTTTACACTCACCTTTACACAATTTTGAGCGTGGCATGGTATGTTGGCATGGGAGCCAGACGGGCCGGCTCAGCTACTGGGATTTTCACGCATAACCATTTCTAGAGTTTACAAAGAATGGTGTGAAAAGGGAAAAACATCCAGTATGCGGCAGTGCTGTGGGTGAAAATGGCTTGTTGATTCTAGAGGTCAGAGGAGAATGGGCCGACTGATTCAAGCTGATAGAAGAGCAACTTTGACTGAAATAACCACTCGTTACAACCGAGGTATGCAGCAAAGCATTTGTGAAGCCACAACACACACAACCTTGAGGCGGATGGGCTACAACAGCATCGACAGGTACCACTCATCTCCAATACAAATAGGAAAAAGAGGCTACAATTTGCAAGAGCTCACCAAAATTGGACAGTTGAAGACTGGAAAAATGTTGCCTGGTCTGATGAGTCTTGATTTCTTTTGAGGCATTCAGTTGGTAGAGTCAGAATTTGGCGTAAACAGAATGAGAACATGGATCCATCATGCCTTGTTAACACTGTGCAGGCTGGTGGTGGTGGTGTAATGGTGTGGGGGGTGTTTTCTTGGCACACTCTAGGCCCCTTAGTGCCAATTGGGCATTGTTTAAATGTCACGGCCTACCTGAGCATTGTTTCTAAACAAGTCCATCCCTTTATGGCCACCATGTACACCATGTCCTCTGATGGCTACTTCCAGCAAGATAATGCACCATGTTACAAAGCTATAATCATTTCAAATTGGTTTCTTGAACATGACAATGAGTTGATTGTACTAAAATGGCCCCCACAGTCACCAGATCTCAACCCAATAGAGCATCTTTGGGATGTGGTGGAACGAGAGCTTCGTGCCCTGGATGTGCATCCCACAAATCTCCATCAACTGCAAGATGCTATGCTATCAATGTGGGCCAACATTTCTAAAGAATGCTTTCAGCAACTTCTTGAAACAATGCCACGTAGAATTAAGACAGTTGTGAAGGCGAAAGGGGGTAAAACACAGTATTAGTATGGTGTTCCTAATAATCCTTTAGGTGAGTGTATTTCTGTGTGTTTACCTGTGTCTGTTCTCTGTCTCAGAGTCCTCCAGAGCTCTTTTGCTCACAGGCTCTCCATCTTCAGGTGCCTGTCCCTGTAGTAAAAAACAAAACAAAAATAGTTTTTTGAACAAAAAGGAAACATTCAAATGTTTATCCAAAACTATTAAACTCTGATGAACATTGACATATAATAACACACATGCAAACTCTGCACAATGAATCAGAGCAAAGGTATCATGCAAGCATTTAAAGAAAACAGGTTAGTTAAACTCTAACGACATTTGTGGTATGTCGATTACCACCAATAATAACAGGCCTGTTCCTCATTTTTTAAGGCATGCATTTTAAGGAAGCACTGAATCAAGTTATAGGGTGATTGGGACACTTTTTGTCATTGCGATGACTTGGAAAAAGTGTCTCAATTAACATGAATTCACCCCAATGTTATTTTATAGAGAAGAAAAATCTTAATCCCATGTAACTTACTTGTGATTATTTCTGTTGTTAGTTAACAGCACAGCTGATAGGTTTGACCTATCCTACTAACGTTAGCGCCATAAAAAGCTTAAACCAAACTAAAACATGTTTGGAAATGCTAATATTTTAGAGCCATCTTCTGTGGATAATATACTGGAAAATAAATTAATTAAAATTAAGACGGGGGACATTAAAATTACCAAATCCTCTTGATGACAAGCTAAATTTATCATAAAACAATCTGTTTTGCTAACATGCTAACGCTAGCTAACTAAAGCAACTTGCCCAGTGAGCGCGCTTTATTTACATGTCTTAAAGAAAATAACATTTATTAGGCAACTCACTTGAATCTGTCGCTCTCGTAGAGCTTTTAATCGTTCTTTCCTTTTCAAAGCTTGCTCTTGTAAAGAACCCACAGGCTTCTCCATGGTGAAATTAAAGCATGGGTACCAGGATCGATGAATCTGCAGTCGATCATTAGGTCTGTCTGTGCGAGGCTGCTAAAGGAGCACCGAAAAGAGCTATTTTGTATAAACTACCAGTCAATAATATGTTTCATACCGGTACATTGACTAAAGTGATAACATAATGATAATATGATATTTATTAAATATTTAAAAAAAATAATACATAAATCAACAAATGGCTGTATTTGCATCATTTGATAAAATAATTAATAGAAGTTGGATGCACAGATAGTAACAAGCTATAAGCTAATAATTATGGCTGATAACTGATAAATAGCTGATTTATAAAAATCCAGAAAATAAAATCAATAGTTTTATACAACAACTGCATTATAGACTTAAACATTCAGTAGGTCTACTCATTTGTTTTGCTCTTTGTTATTAATTGTAAGATGGACAACTAATATGCTATACACTACAGTCCGTTTAAATAAGATAAAGTAAAAAGTTAAAGTAATTTTACGAAAGATTGAACAAAACATTTTTATGGGCTACATGAACACACAGCTATATTCATAAAATACAAAAAAGAAAAGGAAATCAGAACTCATAAGTCATCTAAGTAGAAAAATGGCCTGTACAAGTTCTCCAAACAGGCGAACAAACCCCCCCGAAAGTGACATGGTGTGGAATGTAGGGCATTGCCATGGCGATACAGCTGCCTCAAGGTCCATCCTCTTCCCAGTCACCATGGCCAAACAGTCACAAAGATGCACTTAGTAATAGGATAAATACAAATACATTGTGAACCTTAGACAGTCATTTTTATTTGATGGATTACTAAAATGAGTAAAATGTTAAATATTGTATTTATTGTTTAAGGGTAATGGGCTAACAGTATGGTAGTGTGGTAAATATTTGCTTTGGTTTAGAATGAATGTTTTGTTTAAGTTGTGGTATCTCATATGTCAACGCACTATCAAAAGCATAGTGTTGCTCCAGTTGCAGCAAGCACAGCAGACCCTTCAGAACTCAATTATGTTAAATATGGTTGTGTCGCGGCACATGCATTTAGGAAGGACACTAAATGAGATAATTCAAACTCATACCAACACCAGTTTATTTGCATTGAGTTTGCATAGGTTCTCAAGGGATCCAAAGGCCATGGATGGTATGAAAATCTCGAATGATTTTGACTGTAAAATAGTGGTATTTTACTCTTAAAAGATTGGGCTGTGTGAAAAAAAATCACATTGTTTTGCAATAAAAACAGCAACATGAAGGAATACACTTCATACTGTAAACAATGACAGGCCAAATACATGTCTTAGAAAAAAAATGGAAAATAGGTTTGTTCAAGTTTTGTGGATATACAATGCTTTCCTTCATGCAGCTAAGGTTGAGTCTTAGTTTGCTCTCTATGCCAATCAAATGAACCTAGATCCTGTTTGTTTCTAGATTGTGGACTGAGAATTGGTTTTGTGGAGTAGAAAAATGGTTCTAAACAGTACCAAATTAAAGCCCTCCTTGAACTGTCACCTTATCGTGGTGGAGGGGTTTGAGAATCCGAATAATCCTAGCTATGTTGTCCTGAGGAAGCTGACGAGTACCGGCAGGCCAAGCGGACTGCAGTATGCTCCTCAGGGGCAAGGCACCGGGGGTGGACGAGATCCGTTCTTAGTATCTCAAGTCTTTGGATGTTGTGGGGCTTTCGTGGTTGACATGCCTCTGCAGCATCATGTGGTGGTCGGGGACAGTACCTCTGGGGTGGTCCCTCTTTTCAAGAAGGGGGACCGGACGGTGTGTTCCAAAACAGGTGGATCACACAAAGTCTAACAGTGTGGTTTTCGTCCCCACCGTGGAACACTGGACCAGTTCTATACCCTCTCCAGGCAGCTGGAGGGTTCATGGGAGTTTGCCCAACCAATCCACATGTGCTTTATGGATTTGGAGAAGGTATTTGACTGTGTGTGCTGGGTGCTCTGGGAGTACGGGTCTGGGGCCCTCTGGCTTGCCCGCTTCAGGTTGGTGGAGAGTTCCTGTCTCAAGTGGAGGAGTTCAAGTATCTTGGGGTCTTGTTCACGAGTGAGGGGAGGATAGAATGGAACGGGAGATTGACAGACGGATTGAAGCAGCATCTGCAGTAATGCGGTCGAGGTACCGGTCTGTCTTGGTGAATAAGGAGCTGAGCTGGATGCTTTTGATTTACTGGTCAATCTATGTTCCTACTCTCACCTATGGTCATGAGCTGTACGACCCAAAACCTACATTGAGGTCCCCATGAAAAATCAAGCTTATAAATCATACATAATATTTTTTTATTTATTTGAAAGTGTAAAAATGCATAGTTTTCTGTGATGGGTTTGATGTGATACAGTTTGTACAGTATAGAATCCGTTACGCCTATGGGGAGTCCCTATAGTAAACCTGAGTATGTGTGTCACAGTGTGTGTGTGTGTGTGTGTTTACTGTATATCACGTTCTGATCTTTACTTCTTACATTAAATTTTGTTTCCACAAACCAATCCACCAGGAAAAGTATGTGCGCTCCAGTGCAGTGCCATCCATCCCTGCTAATTTTCACAATCCGCTGCGACACTGTGATGCTTACTGGTTTTCCTGTGTGCAGCTTTGAAGAAGGCAGAACTCCTCCCGGCTCTTCCTCGGTTTGCTCTCTACTGCCACTGTAATGTTCAAGAGGAGGGCAGTGCGAACAGGGTTCTGCATGCACTGACAAGTGCGTTTAACTCCCTTAAAATTCCTCTCGCAGAGATGCACGTTTATCCAGCGCCTAATCGGCGACATTTCTCAAATGTTGCACTCTACATTGTCTAGTTTCTCAGATCGGAATTTTCATTTTGACCCACCCTTCGTCTAAGACATGCAACTTTGGGAGAGCTTGGCAACCAGGTAGTGAACAGCTGTACAGCAGCATGCTGTTTCTGGCTAACAAAATTCCCTGGATCTTCGCCGAGTCAATCCACGGATACTTCGTTTGTGGATGTATATTCAGATGGTTTGATTGACGCATAAGTGGAAGGAATACGCAGAAAGGCGAGTGAGAATGGCTTCGAAAGAGCGACTGTACGAGCTGTGGATGTTATATTACACTAAGGTGAGTCATGGGCAGGCGAACGCGCCTGCCGCTCGACACCTGTTGCCTTCTGAGTTTAATGTTGACACAAACTTGGCAATGTCATTTAATATTGTGTCTCATCGTGCATATGTAGTTATATGGCAAACATATTCGCCATAATTCATTGCGCCTTTGTGTTGGAACAGTTTCAGGAAGTGCGCCTGTGGTTATTTTTTGGGAAGGTTGCGCGTGCACGTACACAGTGAAAACATTTGAAGCTCACTTAATATTTCATTAGCTAGGCTATGTTGGTATGAAGCGATTGACAGTTGTGATGACAAGGACTGGTGATATTTTAGCTAAGCACGACAGTTCATCACTGATCAGTTTGATGTTACCAGTTATCCTGTACAGTTCTTGTTTACCTGTGTGAGCCAGGTAATGTCATTCTTCTTTCTCCAGGTAAGTTACGACAATGTAACCTAGTCTACTAAACACGTTTGTTTTTTTGTTTGTTTGTTTGCGGACAGACGACATGCGTTATAAAAAACGATCCCGGTCACACGGATCCGCAAAAACGTTTAAATCGCTGTATTATTCATGACAGGAGGCCAGTAGTCACGTTAAGCATGTAATACGCATGCGCGTGACGCCCCCTTTTTCACAAATTCGCGGTTTTGTAGTTTTCACGGTGATAATAACTTTGTAATAAAGTCAATAAAATAATAATTAAATCAACAGCAGTAATAAAAACAGTAATATATTAATTCATATTTTCATTTTAATTTTACATTGCCGCGGGAAGCCTACTTCAACTAAACTTGAATTATTTATTTATTGTTTAATTTATTTGGTAACGCTTTAGATTACAGCCCGGAAAGTACTTAAAGCGATTTTACAGTGTAACTTTTGATGTACCCTGTAATTTAAAAAAAAAAGCCTATACTATTTGCAGTGTTGCATGTAACTAATTACTAAGTAATTAGTTACTGTAATTTAATTACATTTCCCTTGAAAATGTAAAGTAAGGGATTACTCTTCATTTATCTGTAATTTAATTACAGTTACTTCTGATGTAATTGAGGTAAATACTGTGTATAGATCAATCCGATCTCACAGCGATTCGTATGCATTTTATGAGGTGTCTAAATATTACGATTGCACTCGTACAAATTCGTATGAATTATTGTAAAATATGTATGAAAAAAGTGTGAAATGTCATGAGATCAGACGTAAAACAATAGTAGGTTTAACATCAAAATGTATTGTCTGATGTTAAAAAGTATGTTTTTAAAATGTAATCTTCTCCTCCTTGGTAAGTTTAAGGATAGTTAATGCAATTTTATAGTATTTATTTGAAAGAATTAAAAGAGATTCATGTCTATCCTTGTATTATTCAGATGGTTAAGATTGATATGGGATTTTAAAAGTAATTAGTAATTAAAAGTAATTAAATACTTTTTAGAGAGAGTAATTAGTACAGTAATCTAATTACACTGTTGAAGAGGTAATTAGTAACTAGTAATTAATTACTTTTTTAGAGTAACTTACCCAACACTGACTATTTGGCAGTGTTCTTGCCAAATTGCACCCAAATGTCATATTGCTATATCATAATAGTAGAATAAGTACCCCTTAGTTCTATAGTACTTACAGTATAAATATGTTTTTTTTTTTTATTCTTTGTTGCCCTTTTATTCCGCAAACTTTACATATTGTTCTCTTATACATGCAGGCACTATAATTGCAGAAAGACAAGTTACGTTGTAAATTCATCACCCAGTACTTTTCCGGGCTGTAATCTAAAGCGTTAGCGTTTATTTAAATAAATAATTTTCTATGTTATTGCTGGGATGTTTTAGATTTATTTTTCAATTAGCTTTGTATGATTCGTTAACAGATCAAGTCGAATCTTTTCAGTGAATCAGTCAAACCGGGTTCTAACGATTTGTTCACAAACGATTGGGTCTTAACAATAGTTCACAAATCAGTTTTATCTTTAAGTGTGCAGCACACATTCTGAAAAGTGAAGTATAGGCTCTGTACGAAGTTGCATACTCTTGAGTAGGCTAGTTACTTATTTTGATTAAGTAATTACTTCACGACCGCTGAAAAAAGGATGTTCTAGTATAGTCGCGACTCACTCCACCTCAGGTTCACTACTGCGCACTCTGGCACCAAATGACGTAACCGCTGCAAGATGTCAACTGTTATTTCATGGATAAAGATATCTGCCTATGGCTGGTCGATGTCTCTGCGATGTTAGGCTGACGTTCGGTGTTGGGCCAATGTCTGACAGACGTAAAATAGTGTCTATAGTCTATAGGACTGAGCAGTATACTTTTTTACGGTTTAAAAAAGACGGTTTACAGACTCGTTGAATCTAAAATTGAATGTTTACGGTTTTGAGAGTTTACAGTTTTATCAGCAGTTCTATGACTTTGTTTTTCTAAATCATGGTTGCAACAAACTGAACTCGGGGGCCATGAAATTACTATGCAAACTATTAATAATAAAATTTAATCAACAAAAAATAGATTTTCAACAGATAAAGTCCTACCATAAAAAAATGTTATAGTTTAATCAACATCAATATTTGCACCCATGCTATTTAGAATATGTAATAAAACAGGCCAGCATATCAGGGCATAAAAGAATCGCTGAATCATTTTTTAACTGGTTTATTGAACTTTTCTGGAAGGGCCCTTCTCTTCACTATGAATAAGAAATGGACATGCCCCAAAGAAGAATGGTTGGCAACACCCTCTGGCGGTATATACAAAGACCAAATTGCACCTCTGCATATGAGAGAGAGAGAGAGAGACAGAGAGAGAGAGAGAGAGAGAGAGAGAGAGAGAGAGAGAGAGAGAGAGAGAGAGAGAGAGAGAGAGAGAGAGAGAGAGAGAGAGAGAGAGAGAGAGAGAGAGAGAGAGAGAGAGAGAGAGAGAGAGAGAGGGATTATTTTATATTGTTAAAACAAGTTAGACATCCATGTATTCCATCTGCAACATGATCACTTTTTAGGGTCAGCAGCTGAAGTCAGCTGTAATGGCTCACTATTTGAAGTATTCTTTTTATGAATGGCTACCATGGTAACCAAAACAGCAGGTGCAGGATACAAGAAGCACAGGGTCACTATAGAGAAATGTTGACTAGTAGATCACTGTTTTAATTTGGTGCTTGCACTCTAAAATATTGTATTAGCAGATTGTATGGAATAGCTGCTGTATGAATTATGTATTAGTGTTCTAGTCTGGTCTTGCCATTGGCACAAGTTGTCTAGATAGCTTGGAATGTTTCTCTAGATCTCATTCATGGTATAATTCAAAAAAGGAACCCTTTGTCATTACATTCCCATTTATTAATAACTGCACAGCTTACAGAAATCCACACAAACCAGACATGCAAAGCAGTTGACATAAATGTGATTTACAATGGTAAAAGGTGAAGTGTATGTGATTTTTGTACACTGATGTTTATGGGTTGGTTCCCCCCGCATGATTCATATTCTATTTGAAACACCCATTTTAATGGCACTGCTTGAGACTGTCTGCTGAGATTCTATCTGGATAAGGGCGACTGAATAGTTGAAATCGGACATGTTTTTATCTGGGCTCATGAGGCTGTGCTCTATTTAAAATCCATTTAAACCTCTCCTCACCTCTTATGCAAGTCATTTGGCCATAGAATAAGTCCTGTGTCCTGTCCTCCCAGTTTAATGAGGTCTCATGGGAAGCTAGTAAATTTGGACTGACACAACAATGTTTGCCTCCTTTAAGATTTGTATCATTTGCAATTACAGGTTATATCAAAGTCTGGTTGTTAGTTTAAAATCATCATGACATGAATATTTACCCAATCTAGCCTATTTTCTAAAAAAAAAATGTTTCAAAAGTTTATTTTTTTTTTTTTTTTAATCAAAATAGCATACCTGGATCTTCTGATGAAAACCCCATCCCAGCAAGCTTGCTTTCTTCTGGCTTTAATTAGTGCAACAAACACATCTCAAGAGCCAATCAATAATTGATGTGTAGATCAAGTCGCCACCCTACTTTTTCCTCAATAATTTATTACTTTCAGATGTACATCACAATATGGAAGAAAAGATCTACTGTAACTATTGTATCGGATGTATTTAGTAATATCTTAATTCTGGCTCTGATCAATATGTCACTCATAACTGCCACCTAGTGCTGTGGATGTAGCATTACATGAAATCAAATGTTTGCTGCTATAGATATCTGCCATTTGCAGTCAGACATGAATGATTGATGCATTTAGTGAGGAAGTACAAAATTACAAAAAGGGTACCAAGATAGAGTGAGTCATGTGATCTTAAGATGGCCGCCCCCATGAGGTGACCCACTCCATGTAGAATAACACAGCTTTTATAGGCTGTTATGATGTGAGTCTTCACATGTGAGTCAGTGATTTCATAATACGAATGCATGTGGCTGCCTGACTTGACTTTAGAACTGAATACTCCTTCCCCATCAGAGGCAGCAGCACACATTATGTGAAGAACTGCTAAGTTTAATGTCATGTCATTCTGATGATCTTGCTGTATTGTAATGTGGTGGCAGCCTTTTTTTAATTTGGCTTTTAGAGCAATGCTGCCTCTCTGTCAGACCACTTCCTCTTGAGAGTGCTGTTCAGAGGACAACACTGATGTGATAACCACTTCCCGTCATGGTTGCTGCTGCCATTTGTAACCTCCCAGAACAACCTGTTTTTGAGTTGACAAATTACATGGTACACATCATCACACCAGTTCAGTTCAGTTCAGCTGAAGCCCAATTGAGGAAGAGGTTTTGGAAAATAACACGCTTGTGTTTGTTTGTTGTGATTTTTGAGGGTTAACACTTTTCTATGAGCGTCTGATATTTGGAAGACCTTCATGGAGATGATGTACAAATGAGCTTGAGCTGGTTGTCTGGATCAGTATTAGAAATAGTTTTCTAATTTCTACGATGGAAGAAACAGTCCCACAAAATTAACAAACATATTGTCATTTATAGCTTCCTTCCAATGTCTAACTT